CCCCCCCCGGGCACCCTTCACCTCCTTTACTATTTGCGCATCTTATCCGTGCGCACAAGACCGAATCTACAGCCTATGCCCATTCCCATTTAGTTGCCCGGGGCCAAGTCCCATTAGCAAGAGTTTGGTTTCGATTCCTATAACGTAGGAGAACATGTGGAAGACATAGGAGAACATGTGGAAGATGTAGGAGAAGGAGGGGGAGAGAGATATATGGCGGAGGAGAACATGTGGAAGACGAGAAGGAGGAGGAGAGATATATGGCGGAGAAGGAGGAAGAGGAGGAAGACGAAGGAGAAGCAAAGGAAGAGGACGAAGGAGAACAGGTGGAGGAGGAGAAGGAAGAGGGGGAGAGAGATATGGTGGAGAAGGAGGAGAAGGAGGAGGAGGAGGAAGAGGAGGAGGAGGAGGAGGAACAAGAGGAGGGTCGGGTTTGGGAGAGTATCGGGAGAGAGTTGACAGGAGGAGGAGGAAGAAGAAGAGGAGGAGGTGGAGGAGGGGGAGGATGAGTAGGATGAAGAAGAGGAAGAAGAGGAGGAGGATTATGAGAAGGAACCTCGGACTAGCGAGCTGCCGCAAAACAAAAGGGCGCGACGTCGGGCCTTTTCATAGGAGGAGGAGGGGGAGAAAGAAGAGGATGCGGAGGACGAGGACGAGTAATGGGAGGGAGGTAAGGGCACGTCTCTCTCTCTCTCTCTCTCTCTCTCTCTCTCTCTCTCTCTCTCTCTCACACACACACACACACACACACACACACACACACACACACACACACTTACCGTCGGGCGGTGACGTGGCGGTCGCTCCTCCACGAGGCCCTCAAACCGGTCGGCAAGGCCTCGAAAAACTGTGAAAACTGGAAAAAAAAAATTTGTACGGGGGTTTTTCTGGACTTGTACGTATGTACAACTCCGCGTACAGGTCCGCGTACGAAAAAAACTCATACGGCCTGTACGGAAAGGCCCCGTACAGGTACACTGTGCAACGCAAATGAGCCGTACCTTGAAGACAGTGAGAATAAGAACCATGTGATGCACGGTCTGCGTATCTGATGGGTTTATCTTTTGTTCTTTGGATTTATCTCAATTTCTGATTTAATATGGATATTGGAATGCCTGTTTATTTAGTGTGTAATTTTGCGTGTTGATTTTATGGTTGGACGTTGAAGTCTGAGGCAACCGTCAAAGTCAAACCCCTTGACCTGATGACAAGCCCCCGCTGAGGGAGTTGGTCTCCAGGGTGATAAGAGACGATTGTCACCACAGGTATGCACCTATGTACCACCCACTCTCCGCACGGTGCAGAAGAGGGTGTGGTAATCAACCGCCCTTGGCGGTTGTCCAGCGTCGAGGGATTAACCCTCAAGGCGCGTGTCAGTCGACACTTAGGTGCCGAACGCGACCCTCGAGATTAACGAGGACCGTATGATTATGGGTACTACATAGTACGTCATCATTGCGACTGCTTGCGTAGTCATGCATCGCGAGTTGATATGAGTTAGTCCTTCGTCCGCACGGTTTTATGCTAAGTCTCACGTGCGTCACCCATCCGATTTCCTCGTCAGAAGTTATAGGATGACTACAGTAGGGACTAGGAGTGTTGTTGTGTTGTTTGTTTTGTGTCGTTCCGTGTGTGTGTGTGTGTGTGTTTTAATTTTTATGTTTTTAAATGTGGTGTATGCGTAGTGTGTGGGATGAGTCTTAGTCGACCGACGACGAGTCGAGGTTGGGACCTCAGTCCCCCAACGTGTCAGTTCGCGTGCGGGTCCGGTAGAGGTGTAAAACCACACGTACCTCCTATGCTACAGCAAACGAGAAACTCCCTCGGCTTGGTCGACCTGTGTGATTGCAACTGATTAGCTTTCGTACTGTGGACTGGTAGCTCGGCAGGGATACACCTACCGATGGGAGGTGACAACTCCCGTAAGGTGGAGGTAAGTCGTGCCTCGTGTTGGCCCTATCTTGTCGTAGGGGCTCGCGAGAGGTATGGTTGGCGCACTCGGCCGGAGCGGCTTGAGGAAGCTCCATGTGTATCGCGACGAGGATCAGACCAACTCATGCATGACGCGTTCGGGAGGGTCCCGCCCTGCTTATGCGGTGCTAGACCGATGCGCTCAACAGGTGGCGCCGTTGTCAGGGATAACGGTTGTCTGCCATTGTCCCTGGTGGAGCGACATCCGCATATGGGAATGTAAGAAATAGGCAAAATGAGAAGTTTCTTTGGGTTTTTATGGTTAATCGTTTGATGGTATTGGATGGAGAGCGAATGAGGGGTGATTGTGTAAGTTGGTTTTGACTGATGCAGTAAGGGTGACCCGAGAGGGATAAGCGCTTTGATTATGTACTCACGTACTCTGACTAGTATGCCGGTAGTTGGAATTGAAACGCTTTCCGACCTTGATGATTGACGGGTCCGAGCAATGCTTTGCATGTCCGATGCGGCTTAGGTTGAGTGTGGTGGCATTAGCACTGCTGAGTGTGCCCATTGTTGGAATCCAAGGCTAGTTGACTCGTCACATGAGTGGGGTACTAAGCCTGCTTGGGGAAGTTTTAAAATTTAAGTTGAGGTGTCTCCCCCGAGCCAACAAAGTCTTGCTTTAGAGGAGGCTTCTAGTACGTGAGTGACATGGATGAGGGGGGCGTGACCTACAAGTGTGAAGTGAGGGGTTTAATGGCAAAAGTCTTTTCTTGAGTTCAGTCTGAGTTGGGATACAATAGGTAGTGCGATGAATATTATACCTAGACTCAGCGATGGTATCAGTTGGCGATGAGTTGAGTCACTTAGGGATTGTCTAGCTGTAACTATCAATAAAACTTGAGAAGCAGTGGTTCCTAGGCTAGCGGTGTGGCTAATCCGAAGAGAGACCTATGTTTTTTAAGTATATGTTATATATGTATAATATGTTTTTATGATGTTTTTATTTGATTGTCTCTGTATGTGTACTTTTTATTGCATTTAGTTTGATGACGGATTGATGGCGTACATATGGATTGCCTTCCAAGAGGATATAGATTCTACATGCAACCCACATTTGGTAGAGGTGAATAGGGTGACTCATTTTTGTGGAAGGTGGTTCTTCCTGAGGGGAGTTAGTCAGCATTTGTGATTTGTCCTCAATAGAAGTGCATTTTTGAATTGTTACTCCTTTGTTGAGGCTTCAGGAAGCAGAGAGAGAGAGAGATGGCGAGGGTCGAGGACGTGATGCGGGAGATTGTGGGCGGGAAAACCGTCGTCGTCCAGGAAACGAAGGTGGATTAGCGTTCCCACCCTCACGGCCGGATGGATTTCAGCCCTCACACGGCTGATCTTCATAGTCGTGTCTACTATATTCTTGTGGAAGGGACCGTTGCGATGACGATCGACGACGGTTTGAGGTAGGACAAGGAAGGCAACCTGGTGGACGTCATCCTCAACGTGAAGAAGTTGTCGGAAGTCGTCCCCGACGAGTGGCGTCTCCTAGAACGTGATGTCGCCGGCAACATCGTTCGATATCTGGTGTCCGCCATAGCTTTTTAGCACATGGCTGCGCTTCACGACAATGCCTCCTACGTGGTGCACATGAAGCCCCCTCTCCGGGATAGGCACTACTTGCACGGCGTGGTGTCCAGAAGACGATCTGAAGGTTGCGCGTCAGCGGTGGTGAGGGTAAAGAGGAGTGTTGCATAACCGGCGATGAAGCGTAAGGGAAGATTGGATGCGATCGCGTCATGCACGACGGTGGTGAGGACGCAGGGGGTGCGCATTTTCGGGGTGCACGCTTGCTTGGACGACGATTCGCGGATCTTCATGTTCGGTGTGGATCGGTTGCATGATGACACGGCAGCGCGGAAGGGAGGACAACCCCGCACGATCATCATATGCCTTGCTGCCACGTTAGCAAATTTGTTGCTGCCGATGGGTTTTCCAGGTGGTTTGTGAACCGTCGCTTGGTTGGAGGGCAAAACGGCCATCTGCATGTTGGGTATGGAGCACTTGGAGGGTGATATGTCAGTAGTCGCTTGGGTCAAGGGTGATCTATCGCCCATCGCTTGCTTGGGGGGGGGGGGGGGGATGGGGGGGGGAGAATGTTGGGTGTGGAGAGGTTGGAAGATGACATGGCAGCGCAGAAGGGGGGAGAACATCCGCACTATAACGACACGATATACTGCCACGTCCGCATTTGAGTCGTCATCGTGTGCTTCTTCGGTGATCTGTCGGTCGTTGTTTTTTTCGGTTTTTTTTTTTCTTTTTTTTTCTAAGGGCAGTCGAGGAGGATAGTAGCCGGCCGCCGACGTGTAATATCCCTAACGCCATGTACTTCGATCGTTATATGTGTGTTTGTGTGTGTGTGTGTGTGTTCGTGCCGCGACGAGGAGCAATCGTCACCTCCTTGCCTCGTTGCTGTTTTGCCGGCATGGGTGTCAAGACGACCACGTGTAAAGCATATCGTGACAATGCACCGCCGGATCTATGCACATGTAGTCTTTGTGTGAGAAACAATGCTCGGAACGAGGCCGATACCGATGTTGGTTGGTACTTTGAGCAACTTTTTTCGAGATTCTTGTGAGAAGGGAGTGGAAGAAGGAAAATAATTCGGCAATCATCACCATCTCTGGATACTGCACTGCTCCGATATTTAAATATTTTCCTTCTTGTGTCGGTCTGTAATTGGTGCGGCATTGCTTGTGTGCGGATGCGTATGTATGACCTTTTTCGTTTTCATGCCATTTGTTTTTATCATTTTTCTGAACTTTTGAAATAATATCGTCTTTTTGGATTGTCGGTCGTCGTCAACATATGCATTTCGTTGTGTATATGATATACATCTTCGCTTGTTCATGTCTAACAAAGCATTCGTGAAAACCCAACAAAACCTATAAAACCTAACATTTTGTATAGAGTGATATCGTGGAAGTGAAACAGTTGTATTTAAGGAAAAAAAAAACAACGCCTTTAATCCTTGCTTGAGAGACGAGGCCAAAACCGAGCTAACAGTGATTTTGAACAGACTGGCAAACAGCAGAGATCCAATAAAAAAATTGCAGCGCGAACCTGAAAGCTATAAAAAAAACAGTTTTAGTGAATACTGTCGTATAGGACTTATGTCCTTCTCAACAATATAAATTCCTATAAAGCAATTTTGAAGCTAACAGTAGAAACGTTCTAAAAACATATATGATATGTAAAATGATAACACAAACAACTTTTGCCTCGGATGAATCCTCAAATTATTAGTCAAATCCAAGTTAAAAATAAAACTCCGAAGAAAAAAAAATAAAAATTTATAAAAAAAAGGAAAGGTTGCCCATAAAAGTGAGAACATGTTAAGGGGAACGTAGTCACACACAAGATAACATGTCAGTCTGCTCACGAAACCCTCGAACACGTCATCATGTTACATGACTTATAGGAGTATACACATGATCTTTTCAGACAATAAAAAAACTGCATATTTTTATTCCGTAATAAACGGTGTTTCGCTTGTTAGTGATCTTTAAGAAAAAAACATGTTTTTTTCCTCGCCACTTCCAGTGGTTCTAAACTTGCCTTTTTATTGAAGTTATTTGACTTCACGTGAAATCTTGCTCCTACAGTAGACCTAATTACTGTACTTTTAAAA